AAAATTAACATGGTAGATAGATTTTGCGAGACGAATCAAACGGTGAGGTCTATTTCATCATCCGAGCTTTAAAAAAATACAAGTTTTCAACTCGCACCGAAATGAGAAATTATCGTTTTACCCTTTTTTTACAAAAAATTAAATTTACCCAAATTTTACAAAATATTCGAGGCTCAGATAGGAAGACCATGGATATCTATATAGACGATATGTTGGTGAAGAATATGACCACGACAGACCATATGACACACCTCAACCATTGATGTACTAAGAGCCTACAAGATGAAGCTCAATCCTGAGAAGTGCGCTTTTGGCGTTAGTTCAGGAAAATTCTTAGGTTTCATGGTCAACAGAAGGGGCATTGAAGCCAACCCAAACAAGATCAAAGCTATCTTGGAGATGAAGTCCCCAACCTCAATAAAGGAGGTCCAGCGCCTTAACGAGAGGATAATAGCCCTCAACAGGTTTGTCTCAAAGTCAGCAGACAAGTGACTCCCTTTCTTCAAAATCCTCTGCAAATCTTTCTGGTGGGGACTAGACGCAGAGGAAGCCTTTCAAAAGATAAAAGCCTACCTCATCACACCACCCTTGCTCTCCTATGTTGTATCGGGAAAGACCTTATACCTCTACCTCTCCTCTTCATCCTCTATCGTGAGCCCTGTCCTTATTTGGGAGAATGGAGGCATCCAGAAGCCTATGTACTATGTAAACAAGGCATACCAAAAGGTAGAGGTTAGATACTCGGAGCTTGAAAAGTTAGCTCTCGCACTTGTCACCGTCGTCAGACATCTACGCCACTACTTTCAGAGTCATACCATCATGGTTGTTACAAATCAACCACTCAAGAGAATTCTAGGAAATTTTGACGTGTCCAGCCAATTACTTAAATGACCCATCGAGTTAAGTGAGTTCGATGTTTAGTACCAACCAAGGGCAGCCATCAAAGCACAAGTAGTTACGGACTTCATGGCCTAGTCCACACCACCATAGAAATTCCGGGAGGAAGAATCATGCACTCCTGCGCTCATCTGCTCAATGCATAATGCCTCCACCCACCATGAGGCAAGCCCAAACACAATCCTAAGAGAACCCAACGTCTCGGAGACAACTCCACAGGCCTCGGGAGACCACACTCTGAGATTAGAGGCATCAGACTCCCTTATGCCTACTCCACCAGATCGGAGACTATATGTGGATGGGTCCTCCACCAGTGAGGGTGGCAGCACAAGACTACAGTTGATCAGCCCCCATCGTACTCCACTCAAGTACACTGTCTCCCTCCACTTTGCAACATCAAACAACCAAGCTAAATATGAGGCCCTCATATCAGGCTTGAATCTCACATTTGAGATGGAGGCCTTCTGCCTGATAGCCTATAGTCACTCACAACTAATAGTCAACCAGGTGAAGGGAGACTTCAAGGCGAAGGAGGAAAGAATGCAAGAATACCTGTCAGTGGTCTAGACCTTGTTAAAAAGGTTTACCTACTTTCAAATCCACTATGTAATCCGCGAGGAGAACTCCATGGTAAATGCCCTCACCAAATTCGCGTTTGCCAACATACTCATGGGCCTAGCATTGAAAGGCACCAGTTCAAGCCAAGCACTGAAAGGCAGTGGAGGATGATGTTAATTGTATATCCTCTAAAGTTAACTGGATGACACCCATCCGAGCCTACCTCAAGGAAGGCGCTTTCTCGAACAACCCAGTTGAAGCCAAAAAGTTGAGGATGAAAGTGTACAGGTATGTCATCTTATGCGATACACTCTACAAATAGAGTTACTCACTGCCACTTCTCCGCTGCCTGACCCCCGAGGAACCCACTTATGTTATGAGGGAAATCCATGAGGCAATATGTGAAAATCACCCGAGAGGGTATGCACTGGCCCACAAAGCAGTAAGGTATGGTTATTACCGGTCTAGCCTAATCAGAGACGGCCGAGAGTTTGTCAGGAAATGCAATAGATGACAATGTTTCACAACTGTACCCAGACAGCCACTTGAACAGTTCACCACCATTAGAGCCCGTGGCCCTTCTTTATGTGGAGAATCGACATCCTAGGTCCCCTACCCATAAGTCGAGGCCAGTGCAAGTTCGTAGTGATAGTCATTGACTACTTTACTAAATTGGCAGAAGCCGAGGCCTTGGCCAAGATAACAGACTACAAGGTGAAAGACTTCATCTAGAGAAGCATATTCTGCCGCTTTAGAATACCTCACAAAATTGTAAGCGATAATGCCAAACAGTTTGACAATAAACTCCTTAACAGCTTTTGCGCTGACCTACAGATCAAGCAGCCCTACTCCAGCCCGGCCCATCCATATTCAGAGGTCATGTTTAGGACTATCCTCTGTAATTTAAAAATCAGATTGGAGAGTGTGAAAGGACAATGGATGGGTAAATGAACTCCCAAGGGTTTTGTAGGCTTACTAGATGACACCAAGGAGCCCTACGGGTGTGACCCCTTTTTCCCTAGCCTATGGACAAAGACGGTCATACCTGTTGAGATTGGGGTATACACCCTTAGGGTCCAGCACCATGACCCTACCAGTAATGAAGAAGGCTTCTGTATCAACCTCGACATGGTAGAGGAGGAGAGGGAGATATCCATGCTCAAGAATGCAGAGTACAAGCGTCGCATGACCAAGTACTACAATTTAAGGGTGAAGCCTCACTTCTTCTTGCCTAGGGACCTAGTCCTCAAAAAAGTCATCATGTCTACCAAAGAATCTAAGGAAGGGAAGCTAGGACCTAACTGGGAAAGACCCTACAAGGTCATAGAAGTTATAAGACTGGGCACCTATAGAATTCAGAATTTTGAGAGAAAAGTTCTAGCTCTTCCATGGAACGCAGAGCACCTAAAAAAATATTACCAATAGCTGGGGGCAAGGCAATGGGTGTACAAGTCAGTAGTCACTAGTTAAATTATCTATTGTTATTTTAGTCAATTTTCATTGTTATCTACTTCGGATTATGAAATAAAAATTTGCAAGACTTTTTCAAAAGTTGTATCTCATTCCATAGAAGTTCATAAATCATTTACAAAAGATAGAAAATAGTCTAACAACAAAAACAAAAATACAAAGATACCATACTCCTAACATCACTCACTACTCCCTAATCCGTTCCCATCGTCGCTCGCCTCCTCATCATCAGTCCCTGGAGCCTCATAGGGAACGAAGCCAGAAAAGTCATAGGTAGGAAAAGCTATTGAGACCTTACCCTTAAGCTCCTCATAGCCATCAATATAGGTGTCTTCCACGGCCCTCTCAATAGTACCTCTGTTCTTCTCCATCTCAATGGAGGAAGTCTCTACCTTAGTGGCTCTCTCAAGAGTTGCTCAAAGCTCAGCCTCTGCTCCAGCAACCCTCTCTCGAGATGCTCGCAACTCTGTCTTGGCTCTCGTGCAGGCAACCTCTTTGTCAGCCTCCAGCTGGGCGGCCCTCCTTACGAGATGCCAGAAGCTTGTTCTCAAGTGTGGCAACTCTCTTGTGTGCTAGCCTCAATTGCTCCTTGGTAGCCTCTCATGCCTGCCTCTCAAGTCCTAACTTCTCCTTAGCAGTCCTTCGTGCCTGCCTCTCCATTGCCTGATTGATGAGTGCCTCTCTAAGCTTCATCGTGCTTCAGAATAAGCAAGGAAAAATAGTAGCCACCTATAAATAAGTAGGATAAGAGGGAAAGAAGCGGGTGCAAAATCAAAGATGAGTAAAGGGCATACCAAAGAAAATCCCTCCATCGTTGTGTCGATGATGCCCTCTGGACCTTGAGAACCAACCCCCCTGGATCTCCGCGAAGGTCACAAACTCCCACTGTTGTTCCTTGGCCAGATTCATGCCCTATAGCATGGACAACCAATCACTGCTAGAAGTAGGACAGCTAAGAGGAGCCTCAGTCTTTGTAGGAGACCACGCAGGGGCCTCATTCCCCACAATCATGCCGGGACTAGCTCTAGGGGGTGAAGGAATGGCAACTAGGGAAGAACTGGGGGCATCACCAGGTCTTGCCTTTCAAGGACTAACCTAGTCGATAGACCCCGGCTGAGAAACACTGGGGGCATCAGACTTTGCCTTCTTAGAAGATGGAGGGGAAGACACCACCCTGGAAGCATAGAGAGCTTCTATTGTTGCTCAATCAATAGAAGTATTTGCGGACTTAGTGTTAGACAAAAAGCTTACAACATTGTAACCATCAAGAGTCTATTGGAAGGATCAAATACCTTTCCTCTTCAGCCTCTGAGAGACCTTGGGATGACCTGATGCGGACATAATCTCTGAGAAATCCTTGAAATGATGGTCACACACTATCTGGAGTCTACTCTCCCACTCTGTAGATAATGTGGGTGAAGCTACGAAGAAACCAATTGCACAGTAAGAACAAATATGTGATGACTAAAAGTAAAAGCAAAAATGGAATTCTTGCCTAACTTGGTCCTCAAGACGGTGTCCCACCTCGAAGGCACTAGGTCATGATATCCCTCGGTGACCCACTCGCCTCCAACAAAGAAGAACTTAGACTTCCAACTATGATAGTTCGAAGGAAGCCTAGTGATGAACTTGCCCGACCTCAAGGCAAAACAAAACCACCCTTGATGAGGAAAGGGGTTATCCAGAAGCACATACGTGGCCAAAAAATCCTCGAATAGGGGAGGAACATCAAAACTATGAACTAGTTGCTATAGTGAGAAAAATGCTAGGATCACTCTTCACCGGTTGGGAGCCAACTTCTCGGGAGCCAGCGACATGTGCCTTAGAATCCGACATATGGGTCTGGATATTGGGAATCTCAAGCCCACCTCTAAGGCATCCTCATAGACAACAATCTCACCCAAAGAGTCACAACATGCTAGCTCATACTCCTCCACCCGATGACACATGACAGCAGGAGGGATATGATATGAAAACACAATGCGGGTGACGTCTTCATCATAGTCAATCGAGCTAAAAATGGAGGTTACCATCGAACTGTCACCTTCAGTGATCCCTTTGCCTCGTTGTGAAGCCTACCTAACATCCACTGTATTACCTCTATTGGCTTGGGCACCTGGCACAACAATAAAAGGCAATGAAGATGAACAGGTGTCAGGATTAACAAAAAAATCAGCAAGGTTAAGTTATACAGTCAAAAGGTAGTACCTCGATCCCCTCCACAACTTGGTACATCTACCTCTCTAAGCGGGGTCTTGGTGCCCAAGTCTGTCTCCCCCATGCATGGGTCCACTCTCCCAATACCCAAACTACCACAAAGTGATCCACCCAGTCTCAGGTTCCCATCAAAGTCACCACTACAGCCCAAACCACAGACACGACGACCTGACCTGTGCCTACTATCGGCACTACCACCTAACTGCTACCCACCGTCGACGCCGTCGCCTGACCACTTCCCACTTCCCACTTTCGCTTCGTGCCTGGCTAGCGTCACCCAGCGCCTCACTGGCATTGACCAGTGCGCTAGCGCTGCCTAGCCCGGTGTCGCCTTGTCTGGGGTCACCATAGGAGTCACCCTTTCCTCGATTCACGCACCTGGTATGGTCTTCTCTCTCTCAATCCACCATCACTAGCGTCTCTTCCTTGAGTCCATCCTGAAGTCTTTGCAGATATAGTGGCGTCACCTAGGGTGTTCACAGCTAGAATAGCGCCACCCGAGGTCTTCGCGGTTGAAACGAAGTCGCCAAGGAGTTGGGAAGCTTAATCGGCGTTAACTAGGTCCTTGGAAGCTAGACAGGCGTTGCCTATGCCAAAGCTACTGCTACCCTTTCCATTTTTGCCACCTACCAACGTGATGGCACTGCGCAGCAGTTTGCTAGAGTCACCCATTGCTTGGGTCGTGGCCCCAGCATTGTTGGTGATCCCCTTGCCTAGGGCGTCGACCTCTAGTGCCTCACCTCCCATTTCGCAGACACCCTTAGAATCAAGGACACGAGGGGCATTGCCCATTCCCATGCAGCCTTGACTAGAGTCCCACACCCCGCTAGTGTCGCCTAACTACTGTTTTGACACACCAGCTCCGCTGAGCTCCCTTCCATCTCCAAGTCGTCATGCCACCTCAGGATTTGTTCCTTGGGTCTCACCACTCATCTTCTTGGATGGTATTTTCCCTGGGATATCATCCATTGGATTCTTCTTCCTCCCCATTATTAATGAGAGCTTGAATCTTTAAAGGGAAGAATGGAGAAAAGGGGGTCTATAAGTATTGACCTCTTAAAACCCTAGGAAAAGAATGCCTTAAATTGGGGAAATAAGGGTTTTGATAAGGGATCCTCTCCAACCTAAAGGAAGTGCTGCAATTAAAAAAAAAATAAGGGGAGACCTTGTGAGTTCTGAAGATTGGTGCCCTAAAAAAGGAGGTTCAAGTTTAGCAGAGACTCACTATAGGGAAGGATAACCAGAGTTATGTATGCCTAACCATGGAGTTATCAGAAGCTTCGTCATTGAGGGAAATGAAGAGACTACCGTGGTGAAGAAGAAAACTTTTGCCCGTCTAATTAAGGAAGGCAACACCATAAGGAGCAAGAAATCCTTTTAGACGATGGGGCTCCTCATGCCCTTAACCTCTTTTGGTCACTACTAGGGCTTAGGGCATGGGGGCAAATGACAAACCTAGATTCAACTAGGTCAGGCCCAGCCTAATTCGAGAATTTGACCCAGCCCAAGTTCAAAGGAGTCCAAGAAGAATTAGAGCACGTGGGGAGCAATTATTAGGATACTTACTCTCGAAGATCAAGGCAACCTTTAATTGCACTTATCTTTTGTAGCTCTCCGAAGAATTAGTACATTTACCCTCACATCACCGCCTCACCCAAGGGCTTCATGCCTATAAATTGTAAGCTCTCTCTATATGGGAGAACACCTCTTTGTATCAATTACGTAAACAAATTGAGTACTAAAATGAAAATGCAGACAGAGGCATAGTGAAGCAAACATACTTTATTTGTTACAATTATCTTTGAATTGACATTTTAATTAATCAAAGTGCTTTAGGTAAAAAACCCAAAACTTCAATAAATAAAGCTATTTGTGTACTCCTATTTCAAAGTCCTCACCGCAATCATCCAATTTCAATTTCCCGACTCAATTACTTCATGTAAATTATTGGGAGAATAAAAAAAGAGTAATGTCATTTAAACCTAAAAATTTGACCTAATTTTTTGACCTAATAATGTGATTTCATTGTTACTATTAGATTAACACCAAGTTCTAATGTTTGAAGGAGCCTAGTTAATCTAATGATTATGATGAATTAGGCCAATAAATTATGTATCAATAGCATTGCTCAAAAAAAAAACAGAAGAGCAATGTCGCGAGTTTGGAATGGTCAACTTCAATCAATGGAACAGTGTTAAGTATGTTCAATCAAACATAAATATAGCAAAGTACAATAGAGCGACCAAATTTAGTTCCAACAAATGAACGAATGAACCCATGCAAATTAAAACTGCGAATCTTATTGGACACCTAAGACATAAAAAATAAAAGAATATATTTATTTATTATATTTTATTAAAATTGCGTGCTCGCCTCAATTCCTTACATTTATTTTTTTTATTTTAGTTTTTTTTTTGGGGGGAAGAGAAGGAGAAAGGGTACTTGAACCCTTTACCTCAAGAAGGAAAAACCTTCATATGGCAAGGAGTACAATTGGACCAAAGGCTCGTTGGTTCCTTATATTTAAGGGAATTTTGGAGGCCTGTCCCCCTATATGGACTTATTTGAAGATAAGTCTGTCAAAGAAACTTATTTGGTTTTAAGTCTATTTTTTTGTCAATTTTTTTATTGTAACCTTTCCGTGTAGGAATGTGATAAACAACATTTATGGACACAATAATCAGCCATATACATCTCCTTCATAATCGCCTTCAAATCTGGCTATAATCTTCCAAGCCACGATGTTTCTTTATCTAAAAAACAAGAAATTGGCATTTACCAAAAATCGTTCATATTCAAATTTTAAACTCATTACATTCCATAAAATACCATTTTAATTTACTATTCCAGTTTACTCTGGACTCCATCGACAAAATATTAATATATTTAAAAAATAACAATTGTAACTTACTCAACAAGGACAGTAACATGGTCACTAAAAAAACAGTAACATGCTCATAATAAAATAGTAACATGGTAAAAGGGTAATAACAATTAGGGATTTAATTTTATCAAAGTGGGCATTAACTTTGTAACCAATATTCAAGAGAACTCATACATTACTTCTAAATTAAAATGTTATAGATTTCGATTTTGTTGATTTTTTTATTGCGCAAGACACTCAAGTATTCCTTGGTTGTGTTACTGTGGAAAAAGTTCATGTTACTGTACGTGAACTGAAAAATGATGGTCAGAATTTTGATGTCTTGATATTTACAATTAGTGTTGAGTGTCGTAATTCAATTGTTGATTGTGTGTTACTATTCATCATTTTATAAAATTTTTAATTTGTGAATCGTATGTTCACTAAAATCATTCGAACTATAAAAAAACTATTGTCTTGGATTTTGTAAAATGTGTTACTGAGCACAAAGCTTTGATTTTACTGTGAATATTAAAATGCATGTTACATAATATACGTTTCAAGGTTTATAATTGTATCTTAAAATTCACTATAGTAACATTAGTGTCAGTATAGTAACACGACTATACTGGTAACACGATCCTCACTGTAACTTCAATCATATAGTAACATGAATGTTACTATATATTAACATTCGTGTTACTAAACTCTATTGGTATTGTTCAACTTCCATATATTATGCATTACTGTTGTTAAGGAAATTTTGTAATCTGATTTTGACTTAATAGACCAACAATTTATTCATACATTAGCCTTCCCATATATAACTATCAGAATATATAATTTTCATATAAAACTTCCTTTAATTATCATAATATTTAATAAACGGTTTCCATATATAACTAAATCAAGGGTTTCTATCTATATCTCAATTATCTAACTTATACAACTTTCCATAACTGGACAAAACTAACACCGTTAGGAGTAATTTTGAGATTTAAAAAATAAGTGCACTTAAGTATCCACATATAAGTTTAAACATGGACTTACCCCCAAATAAGTTTTCTTCCAGGACTCATATCATTATAAGTCCATCTAGGGGAACTCACCCTTAATTTTCACTACATTTAATATACACACTCAGTTGAATCCAACATAACAAATAACAAAAATATATATATATAAAAAAATAAACAATGCAACTAAATAATAAATCCATTCAATCCACTCAATATAAATAGGAAAAAAAAAAGGGAAAATTGTGGGGGAGTACACTTTTTTGAAAATAAGGGAAAATTGTGGGGGAGTACACTTTTTTGAAAATATTCCTAGAAACGTCCATTGCACAAAATTTTAAGTTTGTAAGTATACTTTCTATAAAAAAATTTGGTGGATAAGTACATAATTTCAAATTTCATATTTTAGTAGTACCTAAATGCCCTTTGCTTATTTTAGGCAATATCTAGTAGTTTCCTTTTTTTTTTTTAATTCTATTTTTATTGAATGAGTGGTTTCCTAATTTAATGGGCAATCAAACGTTTGAATTTTAAAAAGATTATAAAATTTTTGGCAGTAAATATTTTTGTTTTTTCATATCTTTATTTTTCAAACTTATGTTTTTCATACAGCAACCGATAAGCATCATCAGTTTTCTTCAAGAGGTTCATCAATTTTTTGGTATGTCCTCAAGTTAGCTTCTTTTTTTTTTTCGTGTTTTCTACTTACACAATCAGTTGGTGTCATGCATGTTCATATAATTATTTCAAACAACATTTTGTTAAACTTCTTTGATTTGAAGACTAAACTTTACCCAGCTAAACCATGGTTTGACTTTTTTTTTTTTTTATTCAAAGGGATTATGTATTACAGTGTGTGAATGATGTTGCAAATTTGTTCACTTAATAATTTATTGTTATAGGAATTGCATATGGTGTTTATCTTTCATATTCATGTCATGGTGTTTTCATACTGTGTTGACTAATTTTTTATTCTTTCCTAATAAAATTATTAACATGATGAACAATGGAATATACCGTAATGACGATGTGCAGATTCGGTAATGAGACATCAGTCTTCAGATTTTTTGTGGGTTCAACGTTAGACGACGTTGTGCGTGGGATTCGTGACACATGGAATTGTTTGACAAATGTTGTTGTTGGGCTATCATACTCTATCCCTGGGCATCCGAATTGCATTTTGCATAATGATATGGATATGAAGAACATGTTTGATTTGGTGAGATGTATCGCAATTAAGTATATTGATATGAATGTCGTTGTGAGAGATGACGAGTCATTCATTATTGATGATATTGATTTTATTGACGATGCCGAATTACATGATGTTGGATTTGATTCAGAGGAAGACTTGCTTCCTCCGTTTAGTTCACATGATGAGAAGGTTTTACTCTCATCTGGTTGGGTAAATGAAATTCGTCATGAAGGACAAAAGTTTGAAGGTGGTGTGTCACAGTTTCGTAATGCTCTTTGGAAATACTCTATCAAAGTTGGATTTAAATTTAATTATGTTAAGAATTGTAAAGAGCAAGTTATCACCGAATGTGCTTCAAAATATTTTACTGGATGTGGGTGGCATATTAATGCAACTCTCCAAAAGGTAAATGATTTTTTCTACATAAGAAAATTACATAACGAACACACATGTGGGGCTGCTCTACATACAGTACAAAATAAGTGGCTCAGTTCTAATCTGATTGCGAAATTGATTGTTGATCACGTTCATGAAAAGCGCTCTATTCAGCAATTGAAGTTGTTAATGATTTTAATTCGGACTATGATCTAACAATATCTTATGATCGAGCATGGATGTGTGTTGAAAAGGCAAGAGGAATGCTTTTTTGTGATCATAATTTATCGTTCCAACAATTACGTTGGTATGTTGATGCTACAAATAGTACCAACCCTGGCAGCCATTTGGTTTTAGATTGTGATCAAGTCTAATCGTTTTCAGAGGTTATTTGTGTCATTTAAGGCATGCATCGATGGTTTTAATTATTGTCGTCCATTATTATTTGTTGATGGAACTTTTTTGAAAGGTAGATACAAAGTAAATATTCTTTTGGCAATTGACAATGATGGAAACCAAGGTACAATTATTTTTTTTGGAA